ATTCCAATGTTTTTTGTTTTTTTTTTACTTTTCAACTGTACCCTTCTTATTATCTATTTCTTTTTTTTTTGATTCATTGAAGATTTTGATTTCATTTCTATTATAAATGTCCTTCTCTTGTCGTTTCATTAGCTTTTCCTATCTTTCCTTATGACATCTCTTCCCATCATCACTGATGGTTTTCCTTTTTTTGTCACTTTTTGTTCTTGGTTCATCTTTAGCAGCTCTTCTAGTTTTATGTTTTTTAAGTTTGTTTTTTTTCCCATTATGCTTGCAGAATATTTTCATGTGCATGGCAAAAAGGGATGGAAGCATCTCTTACTGCTCCTGTTTATATACTTCAATTCCCATCGTGGGAGGGTGCAAAATGATATTTCAGTTTTCCACATTTTTATAAAAACTGCCATTTCCATACCCAAAATGCTACTAAGCACAAGGGGTAAAAATTGTAGAAGCAGATTAAAGATAAAGAGATGTGGATTTTCATATCTGGAATTGGATAAAAAATTCAGAAGCAGGCAGAGTGAATACAAGATTGTGGATAATTCCATTCAAATGAAAGTTTGATGTGGGTGGATCTGCCTGAAATGCTGTTATGAATAATTGTACTTAGATATTTATATATTCCAGAAAAAACTTTTGTAATAACCTACTAAAAACACGTAGCTATAGCACCGTGTAGTTTTTTGTGTGTTGTTGAAAGTATGTGTTTCAGCACAAAGCTACACAGTTGGCCATGTGCCCATTGTCCATCACAGTGAATTGAACCCCAGTTTTTTAACATTGTAGATCCATAAAGTTACTGTTGAACCACTGCAGGACGATTTTGAAGTCAATACTGTTTATGTCTTGAAAAAATAAAAATACAGTATTAAAGTTAATCCTTTTTATTATTGTTTTAATCCAACAAAATACAGTTTTATAGTCTACCAACTTCAATACTAATTACTTATGTTACATATATCTTTTCAAAGAAGTGAACATTTTGACTTGTATGTACACATTGTGTAAAATATACATACTTTAAGGATACAGCTCTTAAGAAACTACATACATAAAAATGACATTTAATATTTGGAAAAGTTGTTTCTTGTATATGAGTATTAGAGGAAGTAAATTTAAATGTCATATTGACTTGTATAACTTGACTGGTAAATTATGATATACTATGTGAGCGAAGTAAAACAGCTTGTATGTCTTGAACAAAAACTGAAAAAAAAATCCTTTCACATTAAGTTATCAAGATGAATATTTTTACCTTTTAGTTCTATGAGTTTTTAAGGTACAGACTATCAAATAAGTTGTAATTTTTCTAAAGTTTCAAAACGCATACATATTCTGAATAACAAGTGGATCTTGTTTTTGTTTTGTTACATACTAATGCAAAATATAGAAAAGACTAGGAAATAAATTTTACAAGTAAAATGTCAGTCATTTAGTTTCTCCCAGTAGTGGTATCCCTTACGTTTTGGAAACAAGTAATTTATTCAACTTTGTGTCACTAAAAGTATTTAGTATACTAGCAATGTTCCTAGTTTAATTCCAAAACAATTTAATAATAAATTACCCTGCACTTAAACTCTACTGATATCATTCACAACCCACAACAAATATCAACAGTCCTAGAAAGAATATTTAAGTAACTAAAACCATATACAGCTATAACATCTCTGTATTGTTAATTACATAATATTTGGCTTTTTTTAACTTATGTGATCCTGGATAAAATTCCACATATAATAAACAAGTGTTCTCAAAACAGTTATAATACTTGTATTCTTCACTCTTTAGACACACTTTATTTTAATCTTTTCTTTTTTTTAGCAGTTGTGCAGAAAACTTAAAATTTGTAAATAAACTACTTTATATAATTACATAACAAAATCATAAACAAAAATTTTATACAACCAAAATGACATAAATGCATCTTCATTAACTAATGCTTTGATAGAAAATGAATTATCAAATATCTAATGTATGGAGCACAATTTATAAGAAAACTTAAAAGTTTTGTATGGACATTATAAGATTTAGCAAATTATTTATCTATAACTTGTAATGCAAAGTATCATCATCTCACCCCTGTATCTTGTTTAATTATGTTGCTGGGATACTTGGGGTCTCTCCTTCCCTAGATCTTCTGGCTAGATTTCAAATAAATGTTATTAATTTATACTGAGTAAGAGAGAATTCCTTTTTCAATATTTACTTGAAAAAAAACCACCCCATAAAATAAGTACAATAATAGAAAAGAAACTAGGTAAAATTATAAAGATGCAAAACAAAAATTAGTTACATATCATTGGCCTCATCTGTCAAACTTTTTAATAAAAGTAATTAAAATAAAAAATAAAGCAATCGGTAAATTAATAGTTGGAGGTGACTTTCAGTTGTTCTATACAATAATGGTAAATCAAATAATATTTATCTCATATGGACATCTCTTAAAGTATTTTGGGTCGAGCCCTGACAATGCAAATGTAGATTATAATAATTTTCTAAAATCGTACAAAATTCAAACATTTGTAAACAAAAAAAAAAGCAATTATCAATTGCCTGAGGATTAATAAAATCCAAAAAAGTCTACAAAAGGTATTTAGATTTTAACATTTTCTGATTTTCCAATTAAGTTAACATTAATACAAGTTAATGGTGGATACACATTGTGTATAACACTTCTTCCTAATTACAATTTCTATTGCTTTTTTTTCATATTACGTAAACACAGGTTTGAGTATTTTATATTAAAACAATTTTGAATACACAAATCAGCAAGCCACGTGACAACACAGCTAATGTAAAGTTGCAGTGGAACAGAATGTATCAGAACTATATTTTGACATTGATGTTTTATAGGTAATTAGATGCCACCAAAAACTGATCACTTTTGGTAAGGATATATAACAGCCATTTCCGAAACAAGATATTCATACATTCAGATAATAAAGATGTGTTCAGATTGTGGATTTACAATTTGCAACACAGGGATATCCCTTGTATTTAATAGCATTGAAAAACAAAGTAATATTGATCAACTTTCAATAAGTCATACCCCAATCGTGGTAAGCAAAGTGCAGAATATTGCAAGAGAATCCATGAACACAAAGATCAGTAACAAAAGCCATCCACATGCCCCAGGATACAGTATTCAAAATAATAAAGAATCTCCATGTGGAAAAGCAACCTGAATCGGGTATACACAAGTTGTTTCCATGATACATCTGTTTCAAACTTTGAGCACCTGGTGAATGAAACAGGTATTCATGCTATTCTCTACAAAGACATACTATTCAAGTCGCCTGACACAGTGCCTATGTATTTCTGTGAGATCCATCTGATGAAATTGGCAATAGAAAACTATTGTCTTCATACTCTAGATAGATTAAGGAATGTCTAAAGGGAAAAGTGGTGTGCCTTGGACATGGCGAAACATACCGTAATGGCATGGCGAGGCTCTAAAATTGTTTTAATACAATGTACTTAACTTCTATAATATGCAATTATATAGAACTGTTTGCTTTTTGGATCCTTTTCTAGGATGTTCAAAAGTAATTAAAAAATTATAGTTGACATAAATGACACGTGCTAAGGGTGTGTTGAACTTCAGAATGTTCAATAAATATGTTTTAATTACATAAATTCACAATTTGAAATATAGGTCATGATGGGGAAAGAAAGGAGAAAAATTTTGTATTAAAATATCCCATGAATGTTGACATTTATTTTACTCAATAAATGTATGTAACAAAAACAATTATATCAAAAGTTTAAAAAGCTGTAAAAGCCCCATGACTAAAATACACTCATCCTTCTTTGAAGTAGTTAAAAATATATTATTCATTTTCATCGCTAATCAGGTTGTCAAGTTTGTTTGCTATTGCAATACCTTTTGTTGTGAAGGAATAACAATATCCTGTTGTGGTACTTCTTGTCTTGGGGGTTTACTTTGCTGATCTTGTGATGCTCCTTGTTGTTCTGGTACTTCTTGAATTTGCTGCTTTTGTGGTGCTTCTTGGAACTGCTGATTTTGTGGTACTCCTTGAAATTGTTGCTGTGGAAGCATACTTTGCTGTTGCCCTGCCTGTCAAAGGAATGTATCATGGTATTTATCACAAATAATACAATATATTCAAATTGTTCCAATTTTATCAAATTGATTACAGTAATTATAGTATTTTGGCACTTGTGTATAAAGTTAAAATCATAAATAATATTCAACGTTAAACTGGTACACAATTAAAAACATTTTATTTAGACCTACCTATGGCCTTAAAAAAGTTGACGACTCTACATGTTTTAGTAAACAGCCTTGTTACTAAAATTGATAAATTATAATTGAGTTCTATGGTATTGATATGGTAACTTACGATTTTTTGGTTATTCAAATGTATATATATAAAACATAAAAAATATTTTGTTTCATATCCTCCACATGTAAATTTTTAGAGGCTTAGCAACCTATGTCAATATAAAGGACGTAACTAGGAGAGATGAAATAATAAATATATATAAATGTATAATGTTCTGAGATTTAAGCTATTTAGTTTAAACATTTATGTTTTCGTGTTATAATTTGCATTCATTCTCGATTGAAAGAGGCATAATTTATATTTCCCAATTTTTTATGGTGGTTACAAGATTGGTCAAATCTACCAAATTCATACAGAGATTAATTACTGAAAACAACAGATCATATTAAAATATAAAGTTTTTTCTTAAGAAACATTTGATAACTATCTGGACATTATAAAGATTTTG